TAAAGTGGTTTAATTCATTTTTTACTTGGGTTAACTTCAGTTACACCCATAAGGAGTGTCCAATTTTTTAGGTGACCCGCACCTTTGCAAAAATTCAATCAGATCGTCAGACATTGTCGGGTGACAAAGCCAAATAAATGAGTGGCATGACTAATTTGCCCTTTCTGTCCTTATCCCAATAAGCTTAACCAAACACCAAACTCCCACCAAAATTTACCCTTATCTCTTGAACCAAACAGTGAAATTGTTCTTTTCCCTAATTCCAATACTGTATGAAAGCGTACCCAGTTGCCTAAGGCCGGACTGAACTTACCGGCGGACCAAATGACGACGACACTATGATAATGTGAGCAAGGAATCCGGCAATTGGGCAAACGCCGCAAGCGCGAGGGAGTGGCCGAGCTGTAGTTGGTCGGTGAGAATGAGATCCGTTTCGCGATCTTGCACCATTGAAACAATCTTCTGATTTGGGTGGTTGTTCGGATCTTGCGGATCTAAGTTGGGATTTTCCGAACGTGGGTGGTTTCTTTGAGCCCGCTGTTGGGTCTAGGTTGATGTAGCTCTATTCCGTTTTGGGTCAATGAAACTTGTCGAAAAAATTGGGTTCGGCTCGCCGGAAAGCTCGTCGTCGCAGAGCACCTCCATCACAACCGTATCCTTGTGTCACCGGTGCGTTCATCTTCTTCACCGCCGGTAACTTCAAACATAATTCATCGCTGAACTTCGAACATAGTTCATCGCTGGGCCGTTTCACCGACGACGGCGCCCTATCCCCATTGCTTTTAACAATTGGTGTAATGAGAAGGCCATGCAAGATTTAACTTGTTGCTGAAAAGCTGATTTTGAGGATATTAGGGATCTTGGAAAATGATTATTACTCATTCCTGACAGACGAACCAAACTGGGCAAAGAAGACCACCGACGAGCGGGCGCAGTACATCTTTCACTGTAGCCAAAGTCTGTTTATCAGTGAAAGTTTCAACGAATCAAATTATTTTGAGATTTGAAATTAGAACTGGAAAAGGAATTAAATGCTAATTAAAATAGAATTGGTATATTTAATTGTAAAAGTGGATGCGAAACCTGAAAACAATTCTATAATAGAAGAATAAAAATCTTATCAATTTTCTTCGAATTTGTCGGTGATAAATTGTTTTTTTTTTTTTTTAATCCTTTCAAATTCCACGACTCTTTAAACAATTGAAATTCTCTTTAAAATTCAATTCCTCTGAAATCCTGATTACAAACACAGTTCATACTTCATATCAGTGATGAGAGTCATCACACTCTCTTTCCCATTCTGATTTGCATTCTAGTCTCTCTGCGCATACATATTTGTTTGCATATGTAATATGTGAGTATGTATATTCTGAACCAGATGTGATGATTTGATGCTTCTGTATATAGATATTGGGAAAGTGCTGTATATATATATTGGGGAAGTGCCGTATATATATATAATATAAATATATATAACCGCTATTGTTATACATCCACCTTCTTCACCGACCACGGCGTCCAATCCCTATTGAACGGCGAGCAAGGGAGAAGCGGTGGTGACAGCGTGTGTGTGTGTGTATATATATATAGGATAACCCTGTTTGGTTACAAGCATAGTGTTATTTCAAATGATGTGCAATTTCATATCCAAATAAAATATAATATATACAATTTAGCCAAACATGGTCATTGGAGGGCAATTTGGGCATTATTATTGACCTTTTTGTATAATGTCAACAAAAAGTGTTTCTAATTTGATCGTTGACCGAAAGGAGGGACTGTGTGTGTCAGAAAAAATAGGGATTTGACTAAATTTTTGTAAATGCGAGGGGTAATCAGATTGGACAAATCACATGGGATGTAATTGAAGTTAACCTTTTTTACTTTTTTAGGCAAGTGTTTAAATTTTTATTGTGCAGCTTAATTTGCAGGATACAATCTTTCTTGATTGATAGAGTGTTGTTTTCTAAAAATAGTATAATTTAAGATAGAATTATAACTATGTCTTTCCTTTTCTACTCCATAATTTGAGGATAAAAATTTATAAAGAATAAGAATAATGGGAAAATATAGAAGTAGGAGTGCAACTTGGTTAGGTAATCCCAACCCAACCCGAGCCCAATCCGATTTTTCACCAGTTTGGACAATTATTTTTACAATTAGTGTTGGATTTGGGTTGAAAAATATCAACCTGAATTTAATTAGGGTTGAATTTGGGCTTGGGTTGAAGTGTTAACAACTCGAGCCAATCCGAACTCAAATTTTAATATTATTTTCATATATATTTTTACTTTTAAATACATTATATATAATATTTAATATATGATTACTTTTTTTCTTTTCAACTTCTTTTGTTAAATTTTAACTTATTGTATGTTAACATTTAAAAGAATGAATTTTTTAAAAATTTGTTAGTAATTTATTATAAATCTATAAAAAGTCTTTAAACTGTTTATTATTTAAGATTAATTTTATCTAAAACTAATTCAAGATCATATTAAATTTTTGGTGTAAGGATTAGTCTATGAGTAACTCGAATTAAATTGAAGTTTTTATTGGGATTCTTAGTTTGAGTTACAGATCCGAATTTAAAAGTAGAATGATGAATCAGACTTAAGTTGAGCAGTTAAGATTAAAAATAAGGTTAAACTTGGACTTAAGTTTAATATTTCATTCAGTGAATTGGACTCAAGTTATACTGGAACCGCTAAGCTGCATCCGTAGAAGAAAGTGAACACATAATATCTGTTTAATCTCATCTTCTTAATGTTATTCTTCCATCAAATCATCTCTATTAATGTCTAAGTAATTGCAGATTAGCGCCCTAAACTGTCACAACCCAAAACCTCAAAGCAACCATTTTCACCTCGCAGATCAGCGCCCTAAACTGTCACAACCCAAAGTCTCAAACCGACGGCGACCATTATCACCAAATCAATCAACCCATCTCCAGGCCGCCAGTATATGTGACAACCACCGCCTCCTAAAATCATTCTTCCCACCATCAGCGTACCCCATCACAGCCGACCACCTAATCAACTTTTTTTTGGGTCTCATATTCACCAGTGATTGGTAATTTTGATGATATTTATATGACGTGGAACTTTGGGTGCCAAATCGATTGGGCGCTGTGTGAATTTGAGGAATGGAATGGAGGGTTTGCCGATGAAGAAGATTGTGATTTGGTAATTGTGGAGGCTCAAGTAGCAATATCCCAATTCCCAATTGGGTGATGGATTAGAATAGATCCTCTCGGCCTTCCTATCTCCCATTTCTTCATTTACTATCAATAGTGGCTGAGATAAAAATAGTTGGTGGCAGGGCGGTGGTAGGGGGTGGAGAAGAGAGGTGGTTGTAGTGGCGGCGATTGAACGAGGTGGAGCCGGAAAGTGGTGTGGAGGGAGATACAAAAAATGAATAAAATATGATTTTAATTTTTGAATTGACATGTTTTTCGGCATAAGGGACATTTTATAAGAACATTAACCAAAACCCAAACTGTTTCTCCTTGCACGCTCTCGCTGTTCACGATTTTGAATCTCCTTAAACAATGTGGGACGCCACAAATTTGTTCAAGTTAAACTTCAGACGAGGTTAGTGTATTTTACCTTAATTTTTTCACTCCATAGTCATATTGCTTATTCAATTGTTCATTAATGTTCTGCGTTTACTCTTCTGCAAACTTAAAGAATGGTAAAATTAAAAACACGTTACCCCTTGCAAAGAACTATGAGTTTTGTTGCTGTCTTGGTAGGTATGTTAGGTTCTTTTGGGAGTTGTTTGTGTCTGAAATCTATAAAGGAATCTATTGAAAGTTTGAAACCAAGAAGTCACATGCTGGCCTGCAGTGGGGAGAGTCTGGTGTCCGAAGGACGATTATTGGAGGGGTAGGGTCCTGTCCTTCGTATAGAGGTTTTTATCTTGTATACATCCCAACTTAGCAGGAATCTTAACCTAAGCCACCTCTAATATTTATCGCTTAAATTGCATGTGGGCCTTAATTTTGATGTATGTCACATCTAGATAGTAAGATGAATCATGTAGCTCACTTTATTTGATTCATTGATCAGCTCAACTCAGCTGATCTCTTATTTTTTTAAACTTTCACTCTCTACTTTTTCTTATATATTTTGAATGTTTCACCTGCAGAATATAGTTTTCTTTCTTGCTTTGCACCATCAATCTTGTTCTCTGTATATGATTTAACCGTCTTGTTTGGCTCTCCCTCAACTCGTTCTTGGAAACTTAATGTTTCATGTTGTATACATAGATAATTTGATTGTCTTCAATTATGACTAGTTATAAGTTATCGTACTTAGAATTCTCTCTTTAACTTGCATTTAATTGCCAACCAAAGTTCCTTCCAATGCTTCAATGCAGGAAGTAGATTGATATGACAGAGGAAGCTCGTTAAGACAATTGTACGGGACCAACTTAATTAGGGGCCCAACCAATCGATGATATGTATCATCAAACAGTTGGATTGGGATCTAAAAAATGATTTTTTTTTGGTTTAATGATCAATCAACATTGGGACACCCACGATGAAAATATTAGCCAAAGGGACCCTCAAGTTGCCCGTGATTTGAATGGACATACCAGAAAGGAGCCCCAATGATGCTGAATGACGTCTATTTGTATACAAAAACGTGTATTTTATATACAAATGTGTGAAGTTTATATGTACAAATTCATTCCCTGCATATAAGGGCTGGATCTTTAGACATTGTATCCTTCCAGCTTTATCTGAACTTCCCACCAAATAATTATTCCATCATATGGCGGACTTAGATACTACACAGGGCATGTAGTTCACTGTCAAAAATCTTCACTGGTACTAATAACCAACCTTCTTGTGTCTAAACACAATGATCATAACTTGTATCTTAGCATGTTAGTCTTTTGTTAGTGCAACAAAATATCAAAAATGGTAGTCCTCAAGAAACAGATATGGTCATTATTGTGGATGAAAATAATTCTCTCGTGTAGTCCAATTCTAAATCTCATTGCCACACACTACCAACTAGTACATCTTTATTCAATTCCCTTCACCCCTGTTTCAACCTATTATACCCAAAATGCCATCCATTTCCCTATCCCATTACATTATAAATACTGTCCAAAAGTCCCACCCCGAGACAACCCCTCTTTTGTCATAAGAGGAGATTTAATTGGGTAATTCACCAAGGATAATGATTTTAATCTGTACTCTCTCTAGTGTTGTTTCAATATGGTTTTTATTGAAAAAAAGAAAAATGTGGTACAAAGAAACAAACGAGAGCATGAGGTGACATGTGCGGGGTGGTGTTTTGCTTCGCTACTGCCTTGAAGAGAAACTGCATGTAAATTTTTGTCTACTTTTGCTCTCATCATCCATTATATGATGGAGACATGGACATACCAAAGATTCTCCATCCACTGCCACTACTGTGGTGGACCTTGATCAGGAGGAAACTGCACCACGCACCACTGTTAACATGTCTTTCAAGAAGAAGGAGCATCTTTCCACTGCCATGAAGAGGACTAGTGAATGGTTTGCTTCCTATTTCTTGTTTCTTGATTTTCTTGAACAAATTCCAATCTTCTTTATAGTATATTGTAAGTTCTGTTACTTGAAATCATTAAGAAATGGAACATACTGAAGATGTTACTTTGAGTTCTAACAGGATTTTCTCCCAAGAGATCCCAAGTGATATCACCGTTCATGCCGGTAAAGCTTCCTTTTCATTGCACAAGGTATAATATCGACTCTGCTCTGGTTAATCATTTTGATTCTTAGTGACTTCTCTATGGGAATAACAGTTAGTAGTGTTGACCTATTAAAAGCTTATCCACTGTCCATAGTTAGACTATTGTCTAGGTTATATTGTAGCTTACCTTCTTTTGATTGTATATTTTAATCCTAAAAAACATAAAGGAGCAACAATAATCTAAGTTTGGATTTTTGATTATAACCATGAGGTGACAGGTCATATTGACATATATGTATTTGATCCATTATTTACTTCAATTGCAGTTTCCATTAGTCTCGAAGTGTGGATACATAAGAAAATTGGTATCAGAATGTAGTGATGCCGATCTTTCTGAGATTAAAATCACTGATGTTCCTGGTGGGGCAGAAGCATTTGAACTTGCAGCAAAGTTCTGTTATGGAATAAATTTTGAGATAACTACAGAAAACATTGCAAAGCTCCGCTGTGTGGCTGAGTATCTCGAGATGACAGAGGACTATGCAGTTGGAAACCTAGTGGGAAGAGCTGAGGCCTACTTAAATGAAGTGGCACTTAAAAGCCTTGCAGGAGCTATTTCCTTATTGCGTCTGTCAGAAAACCTTCTTCCAATGGCAGAGAGAGTTAAATTGGTGAGCCGGTGCATAGACACAATAGCATATATGGCCTGTGAAGATATCCAATTTTGTACATCAGGTAGGGCAGATGTTTTTAATTCTTCCTCTCTGCCTCCCTTGAAACCCATAGTGGATTGGTGGGCTGAAGATTTGACTGTTCTTAGAATTGATATATTCCAACGGGTTATAATTGCAATGATGGCAAGAGGGTTTAAAAAATATGCACTTGGTCCAATACTTATGCTCTATGCGCAGAAATCCCTTCGAGGTTTGGTGAGATCTCACCTCAATTAACTGAATTGTTTTGATTATGTGGTTTAGATAATTAGATATTCAAATTCTTATTTATATTTTTATTGCAGGAAATATTAGGGAAGGTGAGGAAGAAAATTGAGCCAAGACAAGAGCACGAGAAGAGGGTGGTTTTAGAAACAATAGTTAGTTTTCTGCCAAGGGAGAAGAATGCCATGTCAGTTAGCTTTATCTCAATGCTGCTTCGAGCTACAATATATCTTGAGACAACGGTTTCTTGCAGGCTCGATTTGGAGAAGCGGATGGCCTTGCAACTTGGGCAAGCTGTATTGGATGATTTGCTGATTCCCTCATATTCCTTTACTGGGGACACATTGTTTGATGTGGACACTGTGAAGAGGATCATGACGTATTACCTTGAATATGAAATGGGGGGGAATCGTTTGGGCTACAATGTGAATGAAGAGTATGTTTCTCCTCCTCATACTGACATGGAACAAGTTGGGAGGCTAATAGAAAATTACCTAGCTGAAATAGCCTCTGACCGAAACTTGTCTGTTTCAAGGTTCACTAGTCTTGCTGAACTTGTACCAGAACAATCAAGGGTTATAGAGGATGGAATGTACAAAGCCATAGATATTTACTTGAAGGTGCACTTTCTTATGTGCATTTCTCTTCAGTTCCAGTTTTAATTTATAAATGCTTACATTTACATTCATATATACACACACACACACATTATAATTCTTACTATCTTTATGGTTAAACTCATGAAATCTTTTCTTATTGTAGGAGATGAATGGAATTCCAATTTTCATCAATTTTGATACTCTTTGATTGAACTATTGATGTTATCTGCTCACCTTGCATTGCTTTTGACAAATTCCTTCATCTACTTGAACAACTTTGCAGGCCTCATCATGAATCACTTAATATGCTGATTTATCAATCAATGTTTTCAATTTTAATGAACATCTAAACTTGGGATTTTGAAATGTGTCATTAATTTCATAATTATGTAGACACAATTCAAAAGTTTAATTGTACTAAAATTTGATGATCTTGATCTAGTCCTACTTATGAAAACCGTCAGAGAAATTGCAAAATGTCAAGCTTTCATTCCACACTGTCCACATTGGAACTAACAATGAAATTGGAATGGCACACCCTATGAATACCATTAACATACAGTCTTAGCTAAAGTTTTTCATGAAAATTCTCTGTTTGATCCATCTCTATCCTGTAACTCATAGGCTCATCCTGCTATAAGTGACATGGAGAGGAAGAAAGTTTGCAGCGTGATGGACTGTCAGAAGCTATCCCGGGAGGCCTGTGCTCATGCTGCGCAGAATGACCGGCTTCCTACCCAAACTGTGGTTCAAGTGCTTTACTACGAGCAACAACGACTTCGGGAGGTCGTCAATGGCAGCCTCACGGGCGGGGAATCCTCTGTTTTCTCCTCCAAGGTAAATAATTACTCCATGGACATCTTGCCAGCTTCAGATGGGATAACAAGCTTACAAAGGGAAAATCAGGACCTCAAATTAGAGCTTGTGAAAATGAAAATGAGATTGAAAGAAATCGAGAAGCCAACAGATAAATCATCTGTAAGCAATATTTCGTCACCTGCTAATACTTCTCCTTTGCCTCGGAAATCATTTATAGGCTCAATGTCGAAAAGACTTGGCCGACTCTATCCTTTTGTGCGTGCTGATGGAATAACACCTCGTACGGCGAAAGGTCAGGCCAAGCCCAGCAAAGGTAGGAGGTATTCCATATCTTGAGGCATTGGTTTGTCTCTGATCCCTCTTTGTACTTTGTTAAGTGTATGCTATCTTTGTTTCATTGTTTCTGAGGCTTGATCAGAAGAGGACTACTATCTGCTATGTGTTTTGATGCTCTTCTTCTCTTCTTTTGTGTGAAATTGATGTAAATTATAGTCATAATGTTTCAATTAAACTTTTCGTGTTAATTCAAAGGTTGGTGAATAGAAAATATGTGTTTAGACATCAAAGGCTTGTGAAGGGTATAGCGCATGTTCTATTGTCAGAGTCTTTACAACTAAGGGGGTTGAAGTTGTCTCTGATCATCATTTGCTTTTTTAATCAATGTCTTGAGGAGTATGCAGGTAATGATTTCTCATTTGCAATTAGTTTTCCTCTTTAGGATAAAAGAATGATTCAAAACTAAACAAAAGGATCGGACTAGCCAAGCGAACGAGACTCTCGTCACTGTGGGTCTCGGAGCGTTAGATGTATACAGTTTTACTTCTGTTGTATCCATTTCAATCGAAACCGTGCTTCAAGTCATATTGGAACAATCTTACAGGCAAGATCTTATTCAAAGAATGATCCAAGACTGCTGTTATTAAACCGATGACCTAGAAATCTTCTTTTTCAAATTATCGTAATGGTGACAATTTATTATAAGCTTGCTGGTTCAAATTGCAGCAAACCTTGTCGTTACTGAAGTTGAAAGGGAGGTTTTTAGAAGCCGAAAGTGCAGTGCCTAACTACAGACGTGCGTAGGGTCACATGTATTTGAATTATTGGATCCCTGCTTTTGGATAAATAGCTTCTAGAAAAGTAAGGAAAAACTCTGGGGACAGCCTAGCAGTACTGTACTGGTGCTTATCCATATCCAAATCCAATTATCACATAACCTAAAAGAGGAAGCTTTCAAATGGATAGACGTTACATAAATTGGGTGAAGAGACATCCGCCCGCTCCCCACTCTTTATTAATTAGGTCACCGGAGAATGTCCATAATAATTTTTAAGTTCGGAGATTAGAAATTATTTATTAGACCGATTGTGTGTATATATATTTTGCTGGGGGGTCTTGTTTATTTGAAACGGAATCCAGTGTTCGTGCAACGACAGGCAGACAAGGAAGCTCTTGTATTATAATATTGTGAGTGGAAAATGAAAGAAAACTAATTAGAGAGAAAATATATGGTTGAGACATCGATTATATATATAATCTCTGGAACGGAAATTAACCTAATGCTATCTGAGGTTCCTCCCACCTACTTTGATCTGTAATGGCAAATTATGAAATTACTGACAAATGTCAATGGTAGAATGAGAAAAGAGTAACTAGATGAAAATTATAAAATAAAATAATAATTTATATTTGTCCATAGAGAGACCCAAGTCACCTCTAAGGACCGTGGAATACTTTGCCATAAAGCGGTCAGATTGACTTGCAATGACCTGAGATAAGGCTGATTTCGGGTTTGGGTTCGGGTGGGTTTAGGTTGGTCACGAAAAAAATATGAAGAAAATTGAGATTTCATACTTAAGGTTAAATAAAAGTGGTACTGTTATATTAAGGTTTGATGAAATCAAGATATAAACAGATAGTTGATTGAAGCAGTTCTCACGTGGGACAACGTGGTATCAAAGAGATTCCTATAGATATTTTCTTAAGCTAAGTGCAGACAAATTTTGACTTTAGCTTGAGTGGAAAAATTAGGTCCCTTGTTCATACCATACTCATACTGTAATGGGTTTCAAAAGCCAGGGAAACAGGCTAGTAAAAAATCTTCACACAAAGACTAGATCACCCAGTACAGTACAACCTAACAAGAAAAAGAAGAAAATTCCACACAAACACGAATGACCAGAAAATTCGTTACCCAGACTGAATATATATATATATATATATATGTTTAATTTCAAGTCATGTTGAAACTTAAAGTCTGAAAAAGCCAAGGAGACTGTTTCATTCTATCTTCTCTTAGTTGTTCTTGGACATCTATTCTGGATTGAAAACCTGATTTTGGAACCTCCATGAGTACTCGACCCCATTTGTGTCCACTTAACTCATCTTCTGTACTTCTTTGTCGTTGGGTCCCTGAAGTCTTCATCATCATATAGTTGGACCCTGTTGAAGATGATGAAAAACTTGGCCCCGATTCTGAAGTTAATGGCGTCTCGCCTTTTTTGACCCTCCGGTTGTAACTGGTTGGGCCTAGTGTCAACACGATCTCGCTCTCATCTTCAATCTCTACCATTCCATTAACATCATCATCAGGCAGCTGTTCCAAGTCAAGTACAGTTTGTGCACCATGACAATCATCATCATCATCAAAACTAATTCCATTCTTTGAATACTTCCATCTTTCTTGCTTCTCTTCTCTTTGCCTTCTGCTCGCTATGCCTTTCATCATAATCTTCTGAATTTTGTAAAGACGGTGAAGCTCACATACCTGCAATGTTTATAAATATCAAGATTACAGAGTGAGGTTAAGGGTTGAAGTATCTATCACGACAATAAAAAAAAAAAAATTAGCCCAGTGCACGAGGCTCTCCCCGTTACATGGTCGGACAGATGCCTCATTCTTAAGAGGGACAATTGAGAGAGAGGGGGGAAGGGAGAAAAGTACCTGGTGTTTGAAGGTTTCTTCATGCTTTAACATAGCCATCTTCATGCATTCCTTATCATGGGGACTAAGAAACTTCTCCATAGAAAATTAACTTCAATCACTTTGTGTGCTCTTCTACAAGTATTTTTTGTGTCTCAACAAACAGAAACCCAAAATTTATATATATATATGAAGTCTGTTTGTTAAGAAGTTGTAAGAAAAGCAAATCTTTATGGAATATATATGCAGGCTCTGATGGTATATTTTTTCTTCTATACCTGTAAAAAGTGAGGAAATGTGGCAGAGACTTAAAAACTGAGAAAGTCATATATATTGATGAATGGTTTGTCTATTAGCTAGTACAATGAGAAAAGTTAAGACCAAGAGAATCAATATTGAATAGAGTTCTGAATACTATTACAGATAGACTGATAACGTCAATCAGTTTCTTGGTATAATTTTGTTGGTTTGTTGGTTTGTTTTTGTTGGATACCATTTTCATTCGTTACCTTTAATTTGATCCACACAAACAAATAGATTTCTCTAGAAAATATCTCCCTCCCCAGTCAGGGGTATCATTTTCAGCGGCACAATAATGGCTCTGCACATGTAATTTAAATGTATGTGTATGTGTGATTTTACCTATGTGTCCTTTACGTTTGACCAAGTACATCTTAAGTACCAACTAACTTGATCTCACACTGTTTTATGGTTACTACTTTGTTTCTCTCATTAATTCTCTTCTTCCATTTTTTTTTTTTAATTTTTTTTTGACTTATATATAATGCAATAATGACCAAGGTAGAAGGGGATATTTGGAAAATTAAAAGCAAACGTATTCATTTTCCCCCCCTCGTAGCATCTCTGTATGCGCTAAAGATAGAAAGAGAGAGAGTCAGGGATATTTTGTATCAATTGAATGATCTGGTGAAAATATATAGTTACATGAAATATGAAAGACGTGCATAAGTTATATAATAAAATTGTTGTATAGTACATTAAAAAAAAAAAAAAAAAAATAGAGATTAAGATTTCAGTTGCTGGCTGTAGAAGAAAACCTAGTATCGATTTCAAACAAGTATGCATGCAAGAATAAGAACTAGTTATTTAAAATGATATATACTAATAACTATTTGGTATATATATAGAGACATAAAAATAAACAATATACTTGGTTCCTTGTCATATATATATCATCTTAATTATCATAATCAACAAAAGATTACATAAACACACACTACAACTTCATAACCATGATTTGGATAGCGCGTTAGTCAAGAAAGCAACTACACACACACACACACATAGCGAAACTAAACGAATCAATTCTAACAGAACGAACTTCATTCATTTATTTTTTTCTAACTTGATCACCATCAGTCCATCACCATCATATATAAAACCGAAGGTAGAAACAAATCCAAAAAAAAAAAAAACAAAGAAAAAAGAATCTTCTAACCTGCATGAGTGTGAGGACCTGAGAACACAAGTTTGTTGTATTGTCTCTCTCTTGAAGCTATAAGATGAAGAAGAGAAAAATCTATTTTGTAATTTGAGGCCTTCCTCATCCTCATATTCTTATCAAATACTATATCATTCCCACTCGTAAAGAGATAAAATATAATATAATAATTGTGTAGAAGAATTTAAGATTCTCTTTCCACACACAAACCAAACTAGTGTTGGTTGCATTTTGGGTTTTGAGGCATGCCAAACAAATCCCACTGCCTCAACCAATCACATTCAAGTTTTGTGAAAGATCGAGATGCCCCCAAGACAAGTCCAGCAGTACACATTATATTAAATTAATTCCATATATATATATATATATATATATATATATATATATATATATAATGTGTGTGTCTTATGTCGTGGATAATAAGACATTACAATACTCTAGATAATCATCAAAATTACAGCTTGTCGTGAATCACATGCACCCCAGAATTCTATATAGCCCACAACAGTTGTCTTTATAGTATGTACACTAAAAAATACAATTTACAGATTAATATGATCGAGGAGGAGTGAAACGGTGGCATATCGTGGCCCCCGCCGACAAATCAATCTTGACCGTACGTTTACGCGGGTACATCTTGGATTGGAATATACAGTCTTAAATTCTTAATATACAACAATGTGTGGTACCTCTTATATGTTCCGTATACAATATAGATACATTGTCTTGTTAATTTGTTGACACTTGATAGGTTGGATTTAATTGCCAACCATTTGAAAAATACCCAACGAAAACATCATGGCCATTAATTAATTGACCATGTGAGTTGATTCTTGATAGTGTGTAGATACCGTTCTTAATACATATGAACGATCCAGATCATTAGACCTAGTAACCAGAGTATGACACTGAATTCATATAGGATGTATGCATGTACTTGAATATGGGCACCGAATGTGTGTATATATATATGTTGCATATGGGTTATAGATCTCCATTTGTTTTGGGGAAGAGTTGAGTTTGTTTTGTCTTTGTTTATCATCTAGCTGTACAGACAGATACGAAAAAAGAAGATCTAAGACGACCATAAATATGGCATAGAGCTGTATATATTTGTTTCAATATAATTAAAAAATATTGGAACATAGAGAATAATATAATACAAGAAAAAGAGAAAGTGGAACGAGATGAAGTCGTTTCTAGAAATATTTAACTGTAAGGATTATATTTATCAGGAAAATAATATTTAGATTTCTTTATTAGGTATATTTCTTAAAATAAAATAATCAAGGTCATTGAGGATCTATATGGGTTTGAAATAACCACATTTTAGGTCTCATTTTAGTTTGAAAAATAGGTCTCTAATTTTTCCTTTCCATATAAGGAGTATTTAATTAACTTCATATATTTAACCATAAAAAGGATGTTACAACTCACAATTCATATGAATAATGCTAAGAGCATGTAAGAGTGTGTGTATATATATATATATATAATGCATTTTTAATATCACTCACATGTACATAATATGTTTCTTAATTATCTTCTCTCGTTTTTTTTCTCATTTTTCCCAAAGTGCACTCTCTCTTCAAGCAGTGAGGTTAATCATGAAATTTTGTAAAGAAAAATTGTAATTGTATTTGAATAATAATTAAAAAAATTATTAACTGCTACAGTTCTTATAGTTTTATGTAGTTATTGTTTAGGTTTAATTTTTGATCTCTTATTATGGTTCAAAATTGGTCCCGTTAAAAGCAAATTTCTGACTTTGATTGCACGCACGTAAGAGCATCCTCATGATTAATTTTCTCCATTATTGTTAATCAACCTATATATCCTATCTATTTACAAATACAATATTATATTTGTTTGAAATCTAATACGACAACGTAGAAAAAACCTAGAGAGAGAGAGAGGACTTGGAAGCACGCGTTGCCGGTTCAAGGAGGTGCAGGAGCATGGGCAGTGGGTCCATTTAGGTTTACTAAAAGGCTTAGCCACGGGCTCGCCCACTGTTGTTTTGGTCCCACCTTTTGCAAATAAAATGGTTTTGAATTTGAATCATAGGAAACAATGAAAAGCACACGCGCGCGCAGACACACACACACACACACGCATGCATATATATCCGAAAAAAAATATAAAGATATCTACTCAAGCAGTAGTCACCGAGGGGCTGAGCTGAGCTAGGTACAAAGCATTCAACTTGCATTTTCATCATTTCCAAACACGAATCAATGTGAAATCTGAATTCTGCCTTGTCGGTGTCTAGTGGATCGTCAACCAATTCCATCATCTTGGATCGATGCCCAAAATTGAGAGTCAATATATGAAAATATATATTGAAACTATACATATATAGCAATTATATATATATATATATATATGTGTTTTGGTAATCGGTGGTTCAATCATTCTTTTTTATACCAATCAATCTCTTTATTTCAAATTTGGGTCCAGTCAGGAATAATTATAGATTCAATATATTTTCAAATTTGATAATTTGTTGGAGAGTAATGAATAATGATACACAATTTGACTCATCTTACTAAATTTGTATGAATATTCACGCGCATAGTTATTTCTCCATTTGAAAGTAGCCCTCTACACGAATTAAAGCATGGTTAAATATATAGAGTATGCTCACTTTGTATTTTTTATTTTTTATTTTTATGATTTGATTAAATTTTTAAGTGCAGTTAATATTTATTAAACAAATACGATCCACAAAATTCTAATTATGAGCAAAACAATCTACCATACTAAATAAAAATAATAATAATACACCAACTTTTATTCAAACTTATTCAAGTATTCACTTTATCAAGTTTGGTTGTGATAATCTTAAAATCACGTTCTGATTTCTTATTTGAACTCAATCGATCCTGTTGACTTACACCCACATTCTTGCTAACAAGTAACTAAAATCAAAAGAGATAATTTATTCAATAAAAATAAATAAATATATAAATATATTGAATTCTATACAAATAATGATAGTATATCTTTTTTTATTTCCTATCAAAAGAGATAATTAATTTAATTTAAACAAATATAACTTTTTTTTAATTATGTAAAGCGAAATAATTTATTCAACAAAAAATAAATATTTGCTTTGATTTTTTAATTAATTTTTTAGTCCTATCAAAAAAAAAATAATTTATTTAACAGAAATAACTTATTCTTAGTTTTATTTTACTTATTTTATTTTTACTGTAGATGAAATAGCCAAGAGACAAGACAAATTCAATTTCCCTTTTTTCTTCGCGGTTCATTGGATCAAGAGTATTGTATTGAACAGTGATGACTTGCATTTTCTTAACAAATTAAACCTTTCTCTGTTGTCTTTTGATAAAATCATGGGCCAGGACCACATCTATCTATCTATCTATCTATCTATCTATCTATATATATATATATATATATATATATATATATAATAATGAGAATTAAAGTAAAAATATAATGATAAGAATGGTGGAATTATGAATCTAAGTAATGTCTAATGTTTATTTTAATCTCTGCCTATAAACGCTGCTCTTTTTCCCACACATATAGCTCCATCGCATTCTGTGCATTTTGAGTACTACGAGATGAAAGGAAAGAAGAATAAGAATGAAGAGGTTGAAACTATCCATAATAATAATAATAATAATAATAATGTTGTTTAATCATTGTTCAGAAACCTCCCACCTAATAAATAAACTCAACGTATAACAATAAGTTTGTTTTGTGAGTGATTTTTACTTTGTTTTTATTTTTATTTTGCTAGATTTGCTCCTGTTTGGATTGTTTCTGCCTCGACTGGGTGGATATGTTGTTTTCTCTCTGACTAGATCTCTGATCTATATCCGTTTTTGTTGTTCTCGACTTGATTTTATCTTATGTGGGGTTTGGGTGATTTTTTCCCATGTCGAAGGCGTCTTGTGGATATA